ATACACACCGATGAAGCGAGTAGCAATTGTAAATACGTGGCTTGGATCTATCGTTGGGGCCATACCACCTATGATGGGTTGGACAGCGTGCACTAATAGTCTCGACGCCGGAGCTTGGACTTTGGGAGCGTTACTATACGCCTGGCAATTTCCTCATTTTAACTCACTCGCATGTAATTTGCGAGAAGATTATTCAAAAGCAGGTTATAGAATGATGGCAGTGACCGATCCGGCTTTGAACGCTCGTGTCTCTTTGAGACATAGTCTAGCATTGTTTTCTTTGTGTTATTTGGCGCCATACACTGGGATGACTACTTGGTGGTTTGCTTTAGACTCGACAGTCATTAACAGCATTTTGCTCTTTAGAGCTTTTAAATTCTGGCATGATTCTAACGATAGAACAGCGAGGGATTTGTTCTTCGGAAGTCTTATACATTTACCCATAATTCTAGCTTTGATGATGTTTCACAAGAATAATACGGAGACTGAATATTGGATCGAGATGGAAGAAGATGAGAATGATAAGGGAGGAGAATAACACAAAGAAAAATGATTGGCACAACTTAAATCGAGAATCTTAAAAATGCATAGAAAATAGACTTTGGGATTGTAATTTATGACGAACAGTTGTTCTTGCACCCCTCGATTCCCGTCCGCTCGATTACTCTGACAGAGCAAGAAAAGGTTTACTAACCTTTGGCATCTCTCTCAAGAAAATACTTCTGCAAAAAAAATTGGCCTTTTCTTTTAATAAAATGAGTCGTCGTTGTAAATGCTTGATACGATGGCCTGCCAAAACCCTCTTGGATTGATCACACCATTGTGGTCTTCCTAATAATATTAATAACCACGGGTATATGTTCCTTCGGCTGATATTTATTTATCCTGTTATGCGACGAAGATTATCTTCTGCGACTAAAATATCTTTCTGCAATGCTATGTATTCCTTGATAATTTCCTCAAACTCTGACCCGAAAGTCTCGTATTTTCCCAAGAGTTCTTCCACTTGGCGTAGTTTCGTCTGCTTGGCTATTTCCTCGGTGCGAAGTTTTTCTCTTGAAAGGTAGTAGGCATAATCCAATGTTATCTGTCAGAGTCTAACCAAAACGGTAGTATGCAAAGAAATCTCACCTGACGACTTTTAGAGATTCAACCGTGTCCGTATCGTACACAGACAAGAGAGTGTTTATTCGAAGGACCCTAAAATATAAAATCTGAGTTTATATGTACAAGCATGGCAATAGTATGTGTGTGCATCACCTACCTCAATTTTAAAATAATGGAATTAACTATTGCGGAAAAATATTCATTAAATCCTTTGTTTTTTTCATATTCGTGACGTAACATAAATTCCTCGACTAGACACCATAGGGTATCCAATATATTTTTCGTCACCTAACCGTGTTGAAACATCAAAATTTAGTTGACTTGTAGCGATAACGCTGCATAAATTTGTTCACAGCTACCTCGACACAGCTACCTCGATATACGCTGCTAGTGTCTCCCCCAACCGATAGTAATCATTGAACTGATCCGTCTTCGTAGACTCAAT